GTGTGTGTGTGTGTGTGTGTGTGTGCTCAACCTTTGGTGTGTATCTGTTTGATGCAAAGCCATACTGAGTGTTTCATCAATCCCGCAAAGGCACTCATTAATGTCATTAATTGGCGGCGGCTGACACACACACCTGGGTCCCCTGCTCTATTTCTGGAGCCTGAGGGACAGTGACATAATGTGCACAGCTATTTGGAAAGTTTGGGATGAAATGACGGATTAAAAAGCTTCATACCTCTGGAATACTGGGTGTCATCGTTAGCAGCCGATTATCTCAGCTCAGTATAGTGACGTGGACGAATGCTGTTTTCACACGCTAAAGCTAGCTCAGAAAGATATAGACTTTTGTTCAATAATTATGGTATTTTGTATTTGTCAGTATCGACCCTCTAGCACCATCTAGTGTACTGATATAAATGTAAAGTGAACACAAAAATGTCTCCAACGAGGATAACTTAGTTCAGGAAGGTCGCTGATTGTCCACATAGCACACATAGCATGTTAGTGGTGTTAGCTACACGCTAGTGTTTAGCTTTTTTTAAGTAAGTCGCATGCTGAAAGTAAGTAGTGTGTTTGCACAAGGAGTGTTAACACCATGCTAGCACGTAGCATTTTTTTTAAAGAGTCAGTATTCACCGTAGCTAGGCCAAGCTAACCTTGCTAACAACCTTAGCCTCACTTTTTCTTCGGGCTTTACATCAAAATCCAAACATCTATGAATAATAAAATATATAAATATATACATTTTTACTTCATTAGATTGCAGTATATTCAATTAAAATATATTTTTCTTTGAAGATATGTTTATTATAAAGCAGGTCTGAGTGAGTTCTTTGTTGTCAAATGAAGATTAAAAAAAAGACAAAAAATTGTTTTTACCGCTAATCATTACAGTAGGACATTTTTTGACGTTATCAAAAGTGGCTTTGACAACAGCTTGGATTCTGTCTCTTCTGTCATGTTGCAGCAGAGTGTATATTATTCCTCCTTTTTTGTTTTTTTCTCCGCCGGCCTGCCTGCCTGCCTGCCTGCCTGTCATTCACACCGTCACACAGACGCTAACCAACACATCATCAGGGGACACATCAGTGCCATCTGACTCACTGAAACCTTATTCTGTTCAAGGGAACAATCTGTGTGTGTTTGCATGCGCCGCACAGACAATGAGGTCTGATCTCCGAGGCAGAGAGAGAAACGTTCAGGCTGCACGTTAACACTGGACCACCGAGCCACTGTGTGGTTTTAAAGTGGATTACACAAGGAACTCTTTGTAGGTCCGGGACATTCTCTTGTTCCAACCACAAACTGATTGGTTTTTTTTCTTCCCCACTGATTGATTACGCTACGACCTCTTGTGATTAAGTGGACGACAAATACCATCTTTTTCTTTTTGTCAGCTTTCTACGCATTAATGGGAGATTTTGTTACATTTAAACAGCTGGCCAGTTATTTGTTTCCCTCTGATTCCACTCCTTAACCCCGGCCGAGCTAATTGCCTTCCAGCTTATGCTCCATACTTGATGCACAGACATTAAAGTGGTATTGATCCACATCCCTGACGGACAGCAGAGCTAAACCATCGCCGGCGCCAAAATGTCACACATCCGCCCGGTGTTTTCTGGACGGTGCTCACAATGTTCACGAAATATCTCAACGTGAAGGAGTGAAGATGCACATGCTTTACCTGAACCTCCCGCGCATGGTAGGCTATGATGAGGCCAAGCAGTATGACGGTGGACAGGCTGATCAGACACTTCAGGGCCAGGGAGTACATGGAGCTCTGCAGAGAGAACAAACACACACAAGCACACGGCCGTTATTAAAAGAAATAAAAACAAAATGCAGCGCAAATATAATACATAATTCATACAATGACAGACAAAGGAGAAACGACGGCGATGGAAAGTCAGTTTGACCGGTTTGACCTGCGTGATGTCACCAAATGTCACGCATGGCGGGCTGACCTGAACAGAAACAAAAAAAGGAAAGGGCTAACGATTACAAAGGCGACTGGAGAGAAAGAACACCAGTACAATGGCGGCGTTCGGTTGGTCAATATATTTCTGCAGTCAAGCCTCAAATCCACTACTTGTCTGCTTTGATTGGGTTTTATAACTAATGCACTGGGGAACGTCAGATCAATACAACTCATAGCACTTCAGTGGCTTCTTTAACCCCTTCACCTCACACACTCGGGAAAAACAAGGAACCACTGCCTGGAAATATAACACATGTGGCCTCACACACACATATATATAAATATATATATATAAATACATATATATATATATAAATATATATGTATATATATATAAAAATATATTAAATATATATATATATTGCATGAGAACATTAATGGTGCTGTGACTGTAGATTATCAATATGGTTTAACTAGTAGAAAAAAAAAAAACTTCTCTGTGATCTTACTGTATAAGTGACATTAATAATAAATTACAGAACTGTTAATCGATTAACATATGTAATAACGAGTGGCGCTTTGGCCCAGAGGCAATGTCTTATTGGTGTCGTTGGTGTGGAACGCCAGGGTTCACCTCCTGGGCAAGATCAAATCCCGGTTAGGGAGGTCGGCGCCGGTTACAGATAAGCAGATGAAAATGGTCGGATGGATGGAATAACGATGAATCGCGTGACAGACATCAGTTAAACTCGTGGTTAATCACACATTTCTAAAGGGTTGTTTCTGTAGACTTTTCTAAGCTGATATGTTTAGTTCAAATTGTAAATGTCTGTTTATTGTCAGGATTTTTGGACCAGAGGTTTGGACAGTTGAGCCTTCCACCTCATCTTTTCAAACTGATTTATTTACATTGACATTTGTAAATAGTGAGTGTAATAATTAATCATTTAAATGGCAGCGTTTTTTGCATTGAACTTGTTACCACCATAATTTACTCCCCAAACACCAGTTTAGTTCATTTGCTTTCTAAAAAAAACACAGTGTTAAAGTTAGAGAGAAAAAATAGAAAATAACCTTCAAACAAAGTAGTTTTTTTTTTTTACAATTTCTCTCCTTTCAGCTCCACATCTGTGTGTTTTATAATCATGCCTCACGTCATGTGGAACATTTCTTAAAAAAAAAAAAAAAAAGTGTTATTTGATTAGGGCTAAAACAAAGAACGTAAATACCGTTCATTTTCCTTGTCACATATTTAAACAAGGCAAACGTTCCAGACAAAAACATGAAGAAATGCAATTATTCCAAGAGGGCTGTTATTTAAAAGACAGAGTTTGTGTGAAGAGCTCACTCACACACTCGCACTGAGAGTTTAAGACTGTAATGAAACAAGAATGAAAGAAAATCAGGGTGTTAATAAGGAGGAATTATTCCTGCAAATGACACCAGAAGACTGCTGAGGATCAAGTTGAATAAAAAATATTTTTGGAGTACGGCAGCTGAAACTGAATTTGTGAGCAGCTTGAAAAGTTTCCTTAAATTCCACCTTTCTGCTCTAATGGTAATATAAAATAATTATAATAAAGAATTGTTGAAATTGAAGTCAAAAAAGTTCTACGACTGATGTTATAATTTTAAAAATAAAATAACTTTTTGTTATGAAACTGTTGTCAAGTATTGGGCTGTTTTACTTTTTGTTTTGTTTTGTTTTATACTCAAAAATTAAAATTATTGACCAACCTCGAAATGAAACAGGCAACAGGTGGCGCTCTAGGATCTGTCCTCGTAAGAGAGCGTGCCAACCGTTCATCACTGTCCTTACCATTTTATTACAGACTAAATATTTAACACACCTCACTCTGTTCTTCATGCCCTTCTTGCCAAAGTATTCTTGTCTGTAAACCCATTATTGGGCTGCGTTGTTCTAACCTGTTTGTTCCTCCATGAATAAAACAAAACCCACCTGGTCCTGGTTCGCAGGACCTTCTACAAAGGTTTGCCCTCGGAGTCAGAGGTGAACGACTCAAAAAGGCTTTCATATACACGGCTTTCTTAAAACTGAATTATTTATAAAAGCGAGCTGTCAGAACCCATCACCGTTGGGGGAAAACAAGTAAAAATAGTCTCCTTGACCATCGACGCTCAGCTCAAACTCTCCTCCTTCTGACTGAGGCGCTCGTGTTGTTTTCAGTTATTTGGATTCTTGTGTAGCTGAGGTAACGTACACAGGTACCACGTCTGAATTCACCTCAGCCCCAGACTGAGTTATGAACAAAGGGAGGTTTGCATCAGCAGCGTTCACCCAAAGAAACAGAGACCACAGCTGTGATGTCCACTGACGGTGGAGAAAAAGAAAAGCTCCTTCAGTTTGTCT